AGTTGTGTAACGATGTTGGGAAACTGCTTGGCCTGCCACTCCACATGACGCTCTGTGTCTTCTCAGCATAATCATGTCCTCTCTTATCTGTGCTTGTGAAATGCGGACTCTTGGACAGGAATATCTGCACCAGCTTGAAATATTCACGCTTTTTCTGCCAACAATCCTATGTGGAAGGCTAAACAACACTTGAGTGAGAGGCTAATAAATTAATTGAAAGATCTGATCATAGTGCCATCAGTGAACTCCTCCACCAGCCAAGGCTGCAGCATGCCCAAACAGCTTCTTCTTAGGCCAGATAGATGGAGCTACGTAGGCATGGCATGGGCTCGAGCACAGATGATCCGTTGTGGCACAGGAGGACATGAAGCTGATTACACTTGGCAATGAAGACGGAGGAGAAATGCTCAAAATAACGAACAGAGCACTGGGTGGCCATAAAACACACAGCGAATTCGCACAGTGGGAAGCGTAAGTAGTGCATCTGCCAGTCATCTCGAGCAGTCAACGCATAACATCTGGATCTGTTCCATGACCCGCTGCCAGTGAGCCATCAACATTTCACGTGGCATCTTCGTCCGCCTTGCCTGGCACAAGCATCGTGTCGACATCACCACCACTTAGTGGCGCATGGTTTTGTATGAATAAGAGTGCGTCTGTGTATATACAGTGAGGGAAAAAAGTATTTGATCCCCTGCTGATTTTGTACGTTTGCCCACTGACAAACAAATGTTCATTCTATAATTTTAATGGTAGGTTTATTTGAACAGTGAGAAACAGAATAACAACAAAATCCAGAAAAACGCATGTCAAAAATTTTATAAATTGATTTGCATTTTAATGAGGGAAATAAGTATTTGACCCCCTCTCAATCAGAAAGATTTCTGGCTCCCAGGTGTCTTTTATACAGGTAACGAGCTGAGATTAGGAGCACACTCTTAAAGGGAGTGCTCCTAATCTCAGCTTGTTACCTGTATAAAAGACACCTGTCCACAGAAGCAATCAATCAATCAGATTCCAAACTCTCCACCATGGCCAAGACCAAAGAGCTATCCAAGGATGTCAGGGACAAGATTGTAGACCTACACAAGGCTGGAATGGGCTACAAGACCATTGCCAAGCAGCTTGGTGAGAAGGTGACAACAGTTGGTGCGATTATTCGCTAATGGAAGAAACACAAAAGAACTGTCAATCTCCCTCGGCCTGGGGCTCCATGCAAGATCTCACCTCGTGGAGTTGCAATGATCATGAGAACGGTGAGGAATCAGCCCAGAACTACACGGGAGGATCTTGTCAATGATCTCAAGGCAGCTGGGACCATAGTCACCAAGAAAACAATTGGTAACACACTACGCCGTGAAGGACTGAAATCCTGCAGCGCCCGCAAGGTCCCCCTGCTCAAAAAAGCACATATACATGCCCGTCTGAAGTTTGCCAATGAACATCTGAATAATTCAGAGGACAACTGGGTGAAAGTGTTGTGGGCAGATGAGACCAAAATGGAGCTCTTTGGCATCAACTCAACTCGCCGTGTTTGGAGGAGGAGGAATGCTGCCTATGACCCCAAGAACACCATCCCCACCGTCAAACATGGAGGTGGAAACATTATGCTTTAGGGATGTTTTTCTGCTAAGGGGACAGGACAACTTCACCGCATCAAAGGGACTATGGACGGGGCCATGTACCGTCAAATATTGGGTGAGAACCTCCTTCCCTCAGCCAGGGCATTGAAAATGGGTCGTGGATGGGTATTCCAGCATGAAAATGACCCAAAACACACGGCCAAGGTAACAAAGGAGTGGCTCAAGAAGAAGCACATTAAGGTCCTGGAGTGGCCTAACCAGTCTCCAGACCTTAATCCCATAGACAATCTGTGGAGAGAGCTGAAGGTTCGAGTTGCCAAACGTCAGCCTCGAAACCTTAATGACTTGGAGAAGATCTGCAAAGAGGAGTGGGACAAAATCCCCCCTGAGATGTGTGCAAACCTGGTAGCCAACTACAAGAAACGTCTGACCTCTGTGATTGCCAACAAGGGTTCTGCCACCAAGTACTAAGTCATGTTTTGCAGAGGGGTCAAATACTTATTTCCCTCATTAAAAAGCAAATCAATTTATAACATTTTTGACATGCGTTTTTCTGGATTTTGTTGTTGTTATTCTGTATCTCACTGTTCAAATAAACCTACCATTAAAATTATAGACTGATCATTTCTTTGTCAGTGGGCAAACGTACAAAATCAGCAGGGGATCAAATACTTTTTTCCCTCACTGTATATGAGTGTAGGTGTGGATGAGCTTATGTATGAATATGCATGGCTACGTGGAAGTGTGTGTATGGGCGAGATTGTGTTTGTGTGCATGCATGAATGTGTCTATATGTATGAGCGTTCAAAACTATGCATATGCATGAGTGTGTGTGTGTTCTAGCACGAACGTGTGTGTACGCGTGTGCCTGTCCGTAGGTGTATGGATCAGTCTGTGTCTGTTCAGCGGTGGCACAAGTGGTTACGAACCCGGCAACGCGAGTTCAACTGCGGCTCACAATCAACAGCAGTGGCGAACAATTGATCCACATTTCCACGCCTTCCCCTATGTCGACTCAATACTCAAGAGTTTACTGTGCCTGGCGCGGTGTGTAAACATCGGCACTGGTGGAGACAAAGGCGGCCGGGCGTGGTGTTGGCCATCCACCCCCTCTTGAGCCGTGTCGGCCTTCACAGGTGACAGCACTTGCCTCGCAAGTATGTTTAGGCTATAGGGGGGATCTTTGTTTTTTGTGTGCACGTGGGAGTGTTTTGTATGCCTGCATTCATGAGTCTACGTATGCATGCGTGATGGAATATGTATGATAGTGTGTATGTCTTCATGTATGTGTGTACGTATGTATGAAAATAGTGTGTTCGTATGCGTGAATGTGTATATGTACGGGTGCGTAAAGGAGTGTGTATGAATGACGTTGTGTCTGTATGCGTGCTTGTATGTGTGCGTGTCTGTGCGTGTCTGTGCATGCATAAGCGTGTGCGTTTGAGCGATGTGCATTCATGAGTGTGTGTGTATGTGCATGCACGTGTGTACTATGCGTGATAGAGTGTGCATGCGTAGTGCCGTCTCTCTTCTTCTCCATCGAGGCACATGTGTGTGCCGTACGGCGCACACAGCCACAGAGGAGGCGGTCGCAGGAGGCACCGTCTCTCTTTTATTCGGTTCACACCACCAACTCCGGCCTCTCCCCTCGCCTGCCCTCTCTCTCTCTCACGACCGCGCTGCCGCACGACGCGTCCCAGGCACGACCCTGGCCGCGTTGCACCGGCGACGTCGACCGAGACGAGTCCACTCCCGGAACCGGCAGCCCGGAACTCCCCGGGCTTTCCTCCGCTTCTATTCCCCTCGGCGTCCCTTCTCGAAACTCAACAGCGGGGCTCCCCCACGAGGTCTACCCGTGAGCCTTGCCCCAGTTCCTCCGCCCTGCCGGCACGTGCGCTCAGTGTCTGGTGCAGTGGCTGCTGCTGCTGCTGCTGTACAGCAGTCGGCGGCTGTGTCACTACACATGCATCAGTTTGCGAGTTTGCGCGTGCGGTGGTGCAGCGGTTAGCGCTACGCTGCGCTGTGAACCTGGCGACCCGGGTTCGATTCCCGCTCACGGCCAACACCCAGCGACGATTATTTGAACCGGTCCTGGGCATCCCCTAGGTCGACTTAGCCGCGAATGAGTACCTGGTGCGGTGTGTAAACATCGCCACTGGGGAGACAAAGGAGGTCGCTAACAGCATTTGCGCCTACAGTCTGTTAAGGCTATACGGGGGATCTTTATCTTTGTGTGTACTATATTTGTGCACGAGATAGTGCACGTGCTTATTCATGAGTTTGGTGTGTGGGTGTGTGTGGGTGTGTGTGGGTGTGTGGGTGTGTGTGAGCGTGTGTGTGATCGTGCGTGTGTGTGATCGTGCGTGCGTGTGAGCATGTGTGTGTGCGTGTGGGTGTGTGAGCGTGTGTGTGTGTGAGCGTGTGTGTGAGCGTGTGAGCGTGTGTGTATGTGCGTGTGAGAGCGTGTGTGTGTGAGCGTGTGGGTGTGTGAGCGTGTGTGTGTGTGAGCGTGTGTGTGTGTGAGCGTGTGAGCGTGTGTGTATGTGCGTGTGAGCGTGTGTGTGTGTGTGTGAGCGTGTATGTGCGTGTATGTGCGTGTGTGTGTCAGCGTGTGTGTATGTGCGTGTTTGTGAGCGTGTGTGTATGTGCGTGTGTGTGTGAGCGTGTGAGAGCGTGTGTGTCAGCGTGTGTGTGTGGGCGTGTGTGTGCATGCGTGTGTGTGGGCGTGTGTGTGTGTCAGCGTGTGTGTGTGAGCGTGTGTGTGTACGGTGTATAGTGGGGAGCGGTAGTGTAGCAGTTAGCTGCGCTGCGAACCCGGCTACCCGAATTCGATTCCCGGCCAACACCACTGGCGATTATCTGAACGGGTTCTGGGCCTTCTCCCCTAGGTAGACTCGCTCTCAAATGAGTATCTGGTGCGGTGTGTAAACATCGCCACCGGGGAGACAAAGGCGGTCGGACGTGGTGTTGGCCACCCACCCCCTCGTGTGCCGTGCCGGCCTTCATAGGTGCTCGCTAACAGCACTTGCCCCAACAGTCTGTTAAAGGCTATACGCGGAATCTTTGTCTTTGTACCGTGTACATGCATGAGAGGGTGTACGTGCGTGATGGATTGTGTGTGTGTTCGTGAGTTTGTATGTGTATGTGTGCGAGTGTGCGCGTGCACATGCGTGACAGGGTGTAGTGCGTGATGGAGTGTGTGTGTGTTGATGAGTGTGTTTGTGTATGTGTGCATGTGTGTGTGTGCACATGCGTGAGAGGGTGTACGTGCCTGATGGAGTGTGTGTGTGTGCGTGTGTGTTCATGCGTGCGCGTGCGTGCTGGCACGCCACTCCAAGCCACGCTTGGCCGCATGCCCAGACCCGCAGTCCGCTCACACCACCACCCCCCCTCCTCCTCTCTCTCCCCTCCCTCTCTCCTCCCTCTCCCCTTGCCTCTCTCCCCTTGCCTCTCTCTCCTCTCTCTCTCCCGTCCCAGTTGTCTCGAGGCTCCGCGTGCAATTGCGGGGAGGGAAGGCGCGCGCGGCTGTCTCGAGAGAGATCACTCATCTCAGCCTCCACCATCTCCCCCTAGCCTCTTCACGCGTGTGTCCCCGTGCGTGCTGCCCGTGCGTGTGTGTGGGGGGGTGCCGTGGGTCTCTGTGCCTCCTCCCCCCGTCTAGTGTGCGTGTTTGTAGGAGGGCCGTGAGTGAGTGCGTACTAAGCTCATAGCAGCGGCGGTGGCGACGGTGGGAGCTACTCCTTTCGTAGCTTGCAGTCTTACCCCCACCCCAAACGTTCACAGTGGTGTTATTGTTGTTGTTGTTCCAAAGCTCACTTGGATAGATAGACTTGCTGGCCTTTATGGAGCGGTGCGAGAGATCTGTTAAGGCTGTGATGAAACTGGGTTCTTTGTGAGTGCGGTCTGTCCGTCCGTCCGTCTTTCTATACGTGCGTGTGTGCGTATACATTTGCACACACACACGCGCACACGCGCACACGTACGCACGTGTGTGTGTGCGCTGTTTTGTTTTTTTCTGCACCCGCTGTGCCATCCATCGATGGAGTGCCACGTGAAAAAGACCAAAGACACCAATGGTGAGTCTCAAAGCACACACACGCACATAAGCACATTACCATTCTACTCTCACAATCTGTATATTCACAACGGGGTGTCTGTGTGTGTTAAAGATCGACTCGGCCTCGAAATGAGTACCTGGTGCGGTGTGTTACCAAAAAAAAACCCCCATCGCCAATGGGGAGACAAAGGCGGTCGAGCGTGATGCTGGCCACCAAATCAACCCCATGTAACCCGCCGGATCATCATATGTGCAATGCTCGCTTACAGCACTTGCCCCGAAAAGTATGTCACGAAGACTACATATGACCCGGGGAGTGAATTATTCATCTTTTGTTCAAGCCAAGTTGTTGCTGCTGCTGCTACACTAAGACAAGCAGTAGCGGCTGGACCTTTGCTGCGAGACGTTCGCTGATCAGTCGGTGGGAGGAGGTTTTTTTTTCGCCCTTCTCTGTCCCGGATCTCGTGTGGGTCGCGATGTTGATATTTCACATCGCGACCGTGTGGCCGTAGCTGTGTGTAGGAGGAAGGGGGTGGGCGTCGCGTGCCAGGGATGTGAATGTGGTGATGCGCGTGTGTGTGTGCTGCTTTTTGTGTTTGTTTATTATGATGGGCGCATCATCAAAGGCAGAGAGATCATCCCCCTCCGTGGTAGTCTTCAGACTGTTGGGGCAAGTGCTGTTAGCGGACAGCAGCTATGAAGGCCGGCAAGGCACACGGAGGGGGGGGGAGGGGAGTTGTGGGTTGGACAGCAAACCACGACCCGGCCGCCTTTGTCTTCCCCGGTGGCGGAAGTTTACACGCCGCGCCAGGTACTCAGTTCAGGCTGAGTCGACCTAGGGGAGGCCCAGGACCGGTTCAGATAGTAAAATCGCCACTGATGTTGGCCGTGAGCGGAAATCGAACTCGGGGAAGCGCAGTGCGCAGATCCGCAACGCTACCGCTCCCCCCGCTTTTGATGGGCACGGCATCAAAGGCAAAGGTCCCCCGTATAGCCTCAACAGACTGCCGGGGCAAGTGCTGCTAGCGAGCCCCTAGGAAGGGCGCACGCATCTCACACACACACACACACAACGCGCACGTAGCGTTCCACTTACACAGGGCCCTCTGTGTACATGCCACACTACCTTTGTGAATCCGACCCCTGGATTAAAACCTCTTCACCTCCGTCTGGGGGTTATTGGTCATGGGGGGGGGGGGCTGTTTGACCATACTTCACCACGCTGGTCAGTGCGGTGTGATGAAGTGGGGTAGAAAGTATGGAGGGAGGGCCAAGGCCGATTCAAATACTCTCCACTCACTCGCGTCAGTTGGAGGCAGTGTAGAACTCATGTCGTAAGGTTCATAGTGCAGTGCGCTAACCACTGCGCCACCGCTCCCCACAACATTGCCTTGTTGCATTACTGTGCTTTAAATTTCGATTTACTGTGCTTTATGAAGATTATGAATGACGACGAACCTGGTGTAACCTATATACGGTCTTAAAGTGAGTTGTAAACTCCACGTCACGTCAGTATATTAGGCATCACGTAGACGCAATGCAAATCATGAAGCGCTTCTAAGCACCGGGTGGGAATTCCACGTTGCTATGGCAGGGGGCAAGTATTTCCACAAGACAACTGCCGTTATCTGACAGCCCTGCTTGTATTGACTGTTCGACCGAGTTGTATACCGTAACGTACACAGTATTACTGTACGTATACAGTACCAGTAGCCGGAAGCAGACTTTGCCCGTTTTCTATCGGCTTTAGCGTCACACTTCATAGGAGGCGAATTGCTCGGTCCACTGATGGTGGGGTTCTTCATTGCAAGGCCCGGGGGCCGCTGACGGCCCCCTGGTGGCCTTTAGTGGGTCCCTCGACAATAAACAAAACGTGAAAACAACCTCCATCATCATCATCGTGCTGCTGTCAAACCCCCAATGGTTTAAAATGTGTGGCGGCCCTCACTGATGATGCCTTATCGGCAAAAGCGCCCCCCCCCCCCGTGAAAACGAGTGAAGAACACTGGTCTACAAACTCACCTGGGGCCCATAGACTCACCTGGTCTACAGTGAATGAGTGAAGAACACTCGTCTACAGACTCATCTGGGGCCCATAGACTCACATGGTCTACAGTGAAGATGAGTGGAGAACACTGGTCTACAGACTCACCTGGTGCCCATAGACTCACCTGGTCTACAGTGAAGATGAGTGGAGAACACTGGTCTACAGACTCACCTGGGGCCCATAGACTCATCTGGTCTACAGTGAATGAGTGAAGAACACTCGTCTACAGACTCACCTGGGGCCCATAGACTCACCTGGTCTACAGTGAAGATGAGTGGAGAACACTGGTCTACAGACTCACCTGGGGCCCATAGACTCACCTGGTCTACAGTGAAGATGAGTGGAGAACACTGGTCTACAGACTCACCTGGGGCCCATAGACTCACCTGGTCTACAGTGAAGATGAGTGGAGAACACTGGCCTACAGACTCACCTGGTCTACAGTGAAGATGAGTAGAGAACACTGGTCTACATACTCACCTGGGGCCCATAGACTCACCTGGTCTACAGTGAAGATGAGTGGAGAACACTGGTCTACAGACTCACCTGGGGCCCATAGACTCACCTGGTCTACAGTGAAGATGAGTGGAGAACACTGGTCTACAGACTCACCTGGGGCCCATAGACTCATCTGGTCTACAGTGAATGAGTGAAGAACACTCGTCTACAGACTCACCTGGGGCCCATAGACTCACCTGGTCTACAGTGAAGATGAGTGGAGAACACTGGTCTACAGACTCACCTGGGGCCCCTAGACTCACCTAGTCTACAGTGAAGATGAGTGGAGAACACTGGTCTACAGACTCACCTGGGGCCCATAGACTCACCTGGTCTACAGTGAAGATGAGTGGAGAACACTGGCCTACAGACTCACCTGGTCTACAGTGAAGATGAGTAGAGAACACTGGTCTACATACTCACCTGGGGCCCATAGACTCACCTGGTCTACAGTGAAGATGAGTGGAGAACACTGGTCTACAGACTCACCTGGGGCCCATAGACTCACCTGGTCTACAGTGAAGATGAGTGGAGAACACTAGTCTACAGACTCAGCTGGGGCCCATAGACTCATCTGGTCTACAGTGAATGAGTGAAGAGCACTCGTCTACAGACTCACCTGGGGCCCATAGACTCACCTGGTCTACAGTGAAGATGAGTGGAGAACACTGGTCTACAGACTCACCTGGGGCCCATAGACTCACCTGATCTACAGTGAAGATGAGTGGAGAACAATGGTCTACAGACTCACCTGGGGCCCATAGACTCACCTGGTCTACAGTGAAGATTAGTGGAGAACACTGGTCTACAGACTCACCTGGTCTACAGTGAAGATGAGTGGAGAACACTGGTCTACATACTCACCTGGGGCCCATAGACTCACCTGGTCTACAGTGAAGATGAGTCGAGAACACTGGTCTACAGACTCACCTGGGGACCATAGACTCACCTGGTCTACAGTGGAGATGAGTGGAGAACACTGGTCTACAGACTCACCTGGGGCCCATAGACTCACCTGGTCTACAGTGAAGATGAGTGGAGAACACTGGTCTACAGAGTCACCTGGGGCCCATAGACTCACCTGGTCTACAGTGAAGATGAGTGGAGAACACTGGTCTACAGACTCACCTGGGGCCCATAGACTCACCTGGTCTACAGTGAAGATGAGTGGAGAGCACTGGTCTATAGACTCACCTGGGGCTCATAGACTCACCTGGTCTACAGTGAAGATGATTGGTGAACACTGGTCTACAGACTCACCTGGGGCCCATAGACTCACCTGGTCTACAGTGGAGATGAGTGGAGAACACTGGTCTACAGACTCACCTGGGGCCCATAGACTCACCTGGTCTACAGTGAAGATGAGTGGAGAACACTGGTCTACAGACTCACCTGGGGCCCATAGACTCACCTGGTCTACAGTGAAGATGAGTAGAGAACACTGGTCTACAGACTCACCTGGGGCCCATAGACTCACCTGGTCTACAGTGAAGATGAGTGGAGAACACTGGTCTACAGACTCACCTGGGGCCCATAGACTCACCTGGTCTACAGTGAAGATGAGTGGAGAACACTGGTCTACAGACTCACCTGGGGCCCATAGGCTCACCTGGTCTACAGTGAAGATGAGTGGAGAACACTCGTCTGTCTATACTATGTTGTAAGTCTTTTTCGCAAGACTAAAAGCAATGGAGAACCTGTAGGCTTGACCCTGTTGCTCTCCGAGTGAAACCGAGCAACAGCACCAAGCCCAAAATGAACCATTGTTGATTTTTAGGTTTCCCCCAGTTATGTCCACACCGCGCTCGGAATCTGGCCAACTGAGTTGGATTCCTGGCCGCGGCTAAAATCAGCAGTGAGTGATATCTGAACCGGTCATGCCACCCACCGCTCATAAAAAGTGGGCTTATACATCAGGACCGTCACCGTCATGCCTTTGGCGATATTTGTGCCAAGTTTTAGCTTTCTAGCCCTTCAAGAACCATAATTGGAATTGACATGAGTCGGTCGCGGTCGTCTGTGATAGACGTGCCATGCTAAGTCAATCGAGTTTCTTGTTGTTGTTGAGATCGAGATAATGAAGCCCATTGCATTGCCCATAATAGAGGTTTTTTTTGTAGTTAGATCGCGTAAATATATAAATGTGTCGTTAAAACCCGCCACCACCCGACACAGCCAACTAGTAAGGGTTGTCACGTAAACAGAACGTGGCCAATTCGTCACTAGTACAGCACACCGGTTGTGTATTGGAGAGCCATTGCATTGCGTTAACACATCACGATGGTGGGTGACCGTCGAACACCACGGGATATTGACACACGTTAATTGGCTAAGAGAGCTCATTCGTTCGCGTGACCTGAATGAATGTCGCGGGTTCATGTCTCTGCGCGTTCGTGGGGGCTTCTCTGCCCCCCCCCCCATCTCCCTCGTCTCTCCTTCAACACAGAAACGGCTCAAAGGGGGGAAATTGGCCACACATCCGAAGCAGCAGACCTCCTGAGATCACGTCTTGAGATTCAACGATAGAAGCTTTCCTGCATGGGTTAACACAAAAAGAATCGCTTTCTGTATCACAAGGGCACATTTGCGGTGTCGATGGCACGTGTTTAAAGCAATATATATGAGCCGTGTCCATGATAAGCCACTTCGTTGAGCCATGCAACCCAAACTATTGACCATATAGTCTTATGCCAACCCAGAGACCTGAGTTCGACCCCTCCCCCCCCCCCCCAACAACGAGCCCTCCCCCCTAGGTCTACTCGGCCTAAAATACGTGGACGTAGTGCCACCCACCCCCTCGTATGCCGTGGTGGCCGACTAGTTGCTCGCTATCAGGGCTTGCCCTCAACAGTCTGCTAAGGCTACACGGGCGGGTCTTTGTGTTTGTGTGTGAATGATTGAATGATGTGCGTGCATTTGAGCACATCTGTGTGGCAGAATGGGGAGCACCAGGTGGTGCATCTGCCAGTCAACTCTGCCACTTAAGCCATAGCACACCTAGGACTATCCCGTGAACGCCTGCTCGCAGCCAGCTTCTCACACTTGGCTGAAAGTGCACCTAGCCTGGCACGAGGCCTGCCGTGACGTCACCGCCACTTCGCGGCGAATAGCGGCTGTTGTTTTACACCTTTTGTTCGTGCACGTGTCTGTTGTTGTTGTGTGTGTATGTAACTGTGTATGCATAACAGGATGGTGTCAGTGTGTGAGTGAGAGCGTGCGTGTGTGTGCGCGTGCTATGAACCCGGCGACCCGGGTTCGATTCCCGATCACAGCCAACACCACAGTGACGATTATCTGAACCGGTCCCGGGCCTCCCCTAGGTCGACTCAGCCTCAAATGAGTACCTGGTGCTGTGTGTAAACATCGCCACTGGGGGAGACAAAGGCGGCCGGGCGTGGTGCTGGCCACCCACCCCCTCGTGTACCGTTCCGGCCTTCATAGGTGCTCGCTAACAGCACTTGCCCCTACAGTCTGTTCAAGGCTATATGGGGGATCTTTGTGTGTATGTGCGTACGTGTGTATGTCTTTGTGAGTGGATTATGTGAGTGTGTGCGAGTGTATATATAGTATGTGTGTGTGATGCTGACTGTGTGTGTGAGGCTGTGTGTGTGTGATGCTGTGTGTGTGTGTGAGGCTGAGTGTGTGTGTGAGGCTGTGTGTGTGTGAGGCTGATTGTGTGTGTGAGGCTGTGTGTGTGTGAGGCTGTGTGTGTGTGTGTGTGAGGCTGAGTGTGTGATGCTGTGTGTGTGTGAGGCTGAGTGTGTGTTTGCGTGTGAGGATGAGTGTTTGTGTGAGGCTGAGTACGTGTGTGATGCTGTGTGTGTGTGTGAGGCTGTGTGTGTGAGGCTGTGTGTGTGTGATGCTGTGTGTGTGTGTGAGGCTGAGTGTGTGTGTGAGGCTGTGTGTGTGTGATGTTGTGTGTGTGTGTGAGGCTGAGTGTGTGTGTGAGGCTGTGTGTGTGTGATGCTGTGTGTGTGTGTGTGAGGCTGTGTGTGTGTGATGTTGTGTGTGTGTGTGAGGCTGAGTGTGTGTGTGTGAGGCTGAGTGTGTGTGATGCTGTGTGTGTGTGAGGCTGAGTGTGTGTGTGATGTTGTGTGTGTGTGTGAGGCTGAGTGTGTGTTTGCGTGTGTGAGGATGAGTGTTTGTGTGAGGCTGAGTACGTGTGTGAGGCTGAGTGTGTGCGTGTGTGAGGATGAGTGTGTGTGTGTGAGGCTGAGTGCGTGTGTGTGAGGCTGTGTGTGTGTGAGGCTGTGTATGTGTGTGTGAGGCTGTGTGTGGCTGTGTGTGTGTGAGGCTGTGTGTGTGTGTGGGGAGTGGTGGTGTAGTGGTTAGCGCTACGCTGCGCTATGAACCCGGCGACCAGGGTTCGATTCCCGCTCACGGCCAACACCAGTGACGATTATCTGAACCAGTCCCGGGCCTCCCCTAGGTCGACTCAGCCTCAAATGAATACCTGGTGCGGTGTGTAAACATCGCCACTCGGGAGACAAAGGCGATCGGGCGTGGTGCTGGCCACCCACCCCCTCGTGTACCGTTCCGGTCTTCTTAGGTGCTCGCTAACAGCACTTGCCCCTACAGTCTGTTAAGGCTATACGGGGAATCTTTGTCTTTGTTGTGTGGCTGTGTGTGAGGCTGTGTGTGTGAGGCTGAGTGTGTGTGAGGCTGAGTGTGTGAGGCTGAGTGTGTGTAAGGCCGTGTGTGGCTGTGTGTGTATGTGTGATGCTGAGTGTGTGTGTGTGAAGCTGTGTGTGAGGCTGTGTGTGTGTGTGGCTGTGTGTGTGTGAGGCTGTGTGTGTGTGAGGCTGTGTGTGTGTGTGTGAGGCTGAGTGTGTGTGTGTGTGTGCTATATATATATCCACTGCTGGATGAGGACCTCCCCATGCTGTACGTGTTATGGGAGTGTTTGACCATACTTCACCAAGCTGGTCATTACAGGTTGGTGAAGGCAGGCAGCATAGCAATGGGAGGGTAGAGAATTCAGTGCTTTGCAGCAATTCATTTTGGCCATGCTGCCCTCTGCTGCCCAGCAAGTAGCCTCCAGTGACTATAACAGATCATCTCCATATATATAAAAAGCAAAGTTGTGATTATGGTGTGTCTGTTCAAAATGTTTAGCGTACTTCCGGACATGCAACAAACTTGAAATTTGCCATGTGGGTACTTTCCAGACTGTACACCATGCAAAAATTATGAAAATACATTTTAGTATTTTATTTGGGGGGGGGGGGGGAAGCTGAATAATGTATTTATTTTTTGCACGGCAAGTGAGCTGTGACGTCAAATCTGTCACGTGACCCGAGCATGTGGAAGCGTAACGCATTGTAGTGTAGTGGTTAGCGCGCTGTGTATGTGTCTGTGTGTGTCTGTGTATGTCTGTGTGTGTGGAAGAGTAACGCATTGTAGTGTAGTGGTTAGCACGCTGTGTATGTGTGTGTGTCTGTGTATGTGTTTGTGTCTGTCTGTGTGTGTGGAAGAGTAACGCATCGTAGTGTAGTGGTTAGCGCTACGCTGCGCTACGAACCCGGCGACACGAGTTCGATTCCTGCTCACGGCCACCACCGGTGACGATTATTTCAACCGGTCCTGGGCCTCCCCTAGGTCGACTCAGCCTCAAACGAGTAACTGCTGTGGTGTGTGAACATCTCCACTGGGGAGACAAAGGCGGCCGGGCGTGGTGGATCCAAGTCCCTTATATACAAGATGTATGTACGGTGGTCGCCCATCCAAGGACTTTCCTAGTTCAAGCCCTGCTTAGCCTCCGAGATCCGACCACAGAACTCGCAAGGGCGAGTTCTTATCTCCCTCGGCTGGTATGCAGGAGGTCGCGGGTTTGATCCCAAACATGACTCTTGTATATGTGGAGTTTTCGTGCTCTCCCCGTGGTCGCGTGGATTTTTCTCCGGGTCCTTTTGTTTTTCCCCTTCACATTTACAATCAACATCACGCGTTTAGAGAATTTGGCTGCCTATGAATCCTCACGTGATAAGCCACTTCGTTGAGCTATCATTTGTGGCCAGGTCGCTTCTGAAAACGAGCAATACAGCTCAGTGAGCCGGTGAAATAATTATTATTTTATTATTTGTCTATTTACGTGACTTTACCGAAAGACCCAAAGAGTATAAAAAATAAAAAATAGTTTTCGTTTTTTTTTAGTTGAGACGCATTCTGGATGATTTTCTCACGCACAACTCCACTGCACACTAAATGTAACCAGGCTAACGTCTCAAAAGTTGGACCCTGCTGAAAAGAGAGTTTTGAGACTCAGGTTTCATGTATGGATAATAACAAATAATAATAATGTAATGCCCTTTGTCAATCCACCATTCGATGAAGGGCTCCCGACATCGGGTTCATTATATGGGGGTTGTTTGACCATTGGACCGGTTCACTTGCCACAGATGTTACGCGTGGGAGGGAATTGAACCCAGGGTGCTTGGCATCGTCGTGCCACTGCGTTAACCGCTGCGCCAACACTCTTTAAATGTCATACGGTGCTGTGGTGATAAATGACACGCGTGTTATAATGCAATGTGAACAGGTTTTTAATCCACGTGTAAAAAAAAAATGGTCTTGTCCGATAGCATGCCAACGATTTTCTGTTGTCGCGTGAATCAAATGGTAAAATTTAAAGCAGTTAACTTTTATTTCACGTAGCTTTCCAAATCGCGGGGGGGGGGGGGGATTATTTAATCCTTTAAACAGTTTGCTGTGAGCCTTGTCATGCAGAAAGCAAATCCCCACCATCGCTTAAGTGACTTTATTTATTGGGAGATAACGACGATGTTGCTGTTTGACGTCTTCAGTCGTTATCTCTGTACATCTCCGTATCTGTGATCACGTTTGCCTGCCTCCAAACATCGCGCGATTGTACTGCTACCGTTGCAACGTGCTCACGATGACCACCGCGACGTTTTAAGCCATCATGATTGTGAGCAGCGTGCGAGAGAGGAACATTTTCTGGAGATTATGTAGTTGTGGATTATGTAGTTGTAGATTATGTAGTTGTAGATTTGTGCAGTTGTGAGATAATTTAGTTGTAGATTATGTAGTTAAATTATATAGTTGTGAGATTATGTAGTTGCATATTTAGTAATAGGTTTTACCCTTTTAACTGGCACAAAAAACTGACTGTAGATTATGTAGTTGTCGATTTGTGCAGTTGTGAGATAATTTAGTTGTAGATAATGTAGTTGTAGATTGTGTAGTTGTGAGATTATGTAGTTGTGAGATTATGTAATTGTGGATTGTGTAGTTGTGAGATTATGCAGTTGTAGAGGGCAAGCTGATATTTGAACCCATTTAAACGTAACCAACACATCACGTTTTTGTCACAAACACGATGGCGCTATCTCTGAATGATCCACTAACCCCACCCATTCAAGTGTCTGGATTACAAGAATATGATGACACAATACCTGGCCGTGATGTTTGTTATTCGTATTATTGGTGGCGCTGTTGCAAATGAACCCTCCTCGGGTGACAGTTGCCGTCAATGGCGATTGCCATTGTGCCCATGCTTACACGGACCAGAAAGCGTGAAATTAAATGATGTATGGCCTCCAGTTTTTTTTTACAAACCGGTTCCTCGTTGAATTTCGGTGGCCGTGCGTGGCACCGTCCGCTCGTGGTGTGCCTGTCTGAACTTCGCTTGGACGTCGGCCCAAGTCGACTTGGCCCAAAAGCGAGCAGCACTTGGGTGCGTGGTCGGGCTGAACGATTAGTTAGATTTCAAATCGAAATCGCAATTGGAAACAATGCGATGAGCAAATCGCAGAGGCTGCGATTTTTTTTTGCGATTTGAAAAGTCCTATTACTTTCTTATTGGAATTGTTTTATTATTATTATTATTTATTATTGCACGTTTATTTATTTAACTTAACAATTGTTCTATGTTTGATTGTTATATTTCAATTAAAATGTTTTAATGAATGCATGTTTGAAGTAATTCATATCTTTTAAGTTCTCATCCTTGCATTAGAATATGCAGAGCAGTTCATATTTTGATGGTATCACGTGGTAATGCTCCATCACGTGTTTTAAATCTATTGCGCAGTGAATATTGAACTGAAGCGTGACTTAAAAAAATGTAATCGCAAATCAAATCGCAATCGCAATATCTCTCAGAAAAATCACAATTAGATATTTTCCCCCAAATCATTCATCCCTAGTGCGCGGGGCGACGCACGTGGCGACAGAGGCGAAATAGTGAGCGACGTGACCTGAGCCGCATTGTCCACTCGGCCTTAATAGGCGCTGGCCAAGGGCACTGACCGGTCTAAGTGGTGTTCTTTGCTCTAACGCATGGCCTATTGTACTGTATATGGGCACGTGTGTGTGGTGTGTGTGCGTGCCACTTACGCCATCACGTTCTATCGTGTGGGAAGTGGTGGTGTAGCAGTTACCGCGCTGCGCTACGAACCCAGCCACCCTGGTTCGATTCCTGCTCATGGCCACCACCAGTGACGATTATCTGAACCGGTCCTGGGCCTCCCCTCGATCAACTAATCCTCAAATGCGGTGTGTAAACATCGCCACTAGGGAGACAAAGGTGGCCGGACGTGGTGCTGGCAACCCACCCCCTGGTATGCCGGGCCAGCCGTCATAGGTGCTCGCTAACAGTGCTTGCCCCAACAGTCAGTTAAGGCTATATGGGAGATCTTTGTCACTTTTATTGTGTGGGGAGCGGTGGTGCAGTGGTTGGCGCACGGTGCTCTGGATCTCGTGGTGAGCTTGGGTTTGATTCCCGGCCATGGCAAATATCAGGAATGTAAGAATTTGTCTGGGCCCTCCCCTAAGCAGACTCGGCATTAAATAAGTACCTGTTATGGTGTGTAATCCTCAGCACTGGAAGACAAAGGCTGTGGTGCTGGTCACACACAACCTTTGTGCACTGCACCCGCCCTAACAGGAATCTAAAGCCAGTACAGTTCTTAGCAGGGGGAGGCATGGACGGTGCGAAGAAAGCGGCAGGCGAGTGGATATTCATCGTCTGTGCGCGCAGCATTGTGCAAGATTGTGTTTATTGCACGTGCTTACTCATCGCGCGTGCGTGTGTGTTCCTCCCACGTGGATCTGCGTGCGTGCAAGCAGGGCCCCCCACGGTGACCGCCAGCCCTGGGGAAGGAGCCACTTACGCCATCACGTGCGGGGAATGGAACGCGCGGCTCATCTGGTGCAAGTTCGTGTGTCCCGGCATCAACGTGAAATGCGTTCAGGCGAGTACGCGTGCGTGTGTGCGTGCGTGTGCGTGCGTGCGTGCGCACGGCGGTGCAGCGGTGACGCAATCGCCCATGCGCTGCCTCTGCAATCCCAGCCACCTGGGTCTGATTCCTGGCCATGGATTTAGGAGCGTGTGTGTTTCTGTGCGCGAGTGAATATGTGCGTATGTATTCAACCGATGCGGATATGTGTGCGTAGCGGGGAGTGGCCGTGTAGCGGTTAGCGTGCTGCGCTACTAACCCGGTGGACCGGAGTTCGGTCGTGGGCCTCCCCTAGGTCGACTCTGCCTCAAATGAGTACCCAGTGCGGGGGTGTAAACATCGTCACTGGGGAGACAAAGGTGGCCAGACGTGGTACTGCCCACTCGACCCCACCAAGCGCTATGCTTGCGTTACTAGGTTATCTCTAACAGCACTTACCCCGACTGCATACAAGAGTTGAAGGGGGATATCTATCCTTGTGTGTGCCTGTGTGAGCATATATGGTTGGGAAATTAGTGACATGGTAGAACTACCAATCAGCTGGGTTTGAATTCCTAGCTCCTCACCTGTTTCACTGGCGACACTTGTTATCTAAACCTGGCTTTTGGGTCTCCCCCAAAGTTGATGCGGCCTTGGAATAAGCACACGGCACAGCGTTGTCAACAGCGGACGTGCGGAGACAAAATGTGGCGGTTTCGGTGAGCAGCGTGATGGGGGTGTGCATCACAGCGGTGCCTTTGGTGTACCGGCCTCAAGAGACGTTCGCTCCACGGCCCTTTGCTCCAACAATGCAATTTCATTCATGTGTTTTGCCAGGTACAGCCCACTGAGCTACGTCGCTATTTTCCAGAAGCAACAAGGCCACAAATGATATCTCCAACGAAGCCGCCCATCCCGTCGAAGTGTATCCCGGCCAAATACTCTAAACGGATGTTTATAAGTGCGGAGGGAAAAACCAGAGAAGAAGCCACGCAACCAAGGGGGGGAGCATGCAAACTCCAAATATACAGGCATCGCCAGGGTTTGGGGCTCGAACTCACGACCTCCTGCATACCAGGCGAGGGTGTTAACATCTCGCTACTGCCCCAATTCATACGTCTGGAAGGCGAACCCTCTGTGTGTTTGTCTCTGTGCGCGAGCGTCCATGTGCGCTTGTGGGAGAGGAAGGAATGACATCCTTTACGGATGGGATCAGATCACGGATTTTGTGTACTGTGTTGAACCGGACCTGGATCTTGTGTTTGTTTAGAATTTTGGAAATCTTTTTGGTAACGCCTGCTACAATATGTATGGCAACGTGATGATTTTGATCGGAGTATCAGGTGGTTGTTTCTGTATGGTGGGAGAAACAGCTTGGCGGATAGCACGGTCAGAGTATCCGTTCATCTTGAGGGCCAGATGTACATGTTTTAATTCACTGGCCAGGTGGTGTTAGAAATGCAATGAGCCCTATGGTATAATGTTTTGATGAGATAATTCTTTTGAGCCGGGTGGTGGTGGGAATCAGGCTTCAAGTATGAATCTGTGTGGGTGGACTTCCTGTAAACAGAATGTCCTAATGTATGGGGAATCTTTGTCTCTGTGGTGGGCGAGGTGACTAATCATATATCGATTCATGAATTTACCAATTAAAACAGGTATTCGAATAATTAGCAATGCATGCAAATGATGTGTAAATCGGTATGCAAATTCCAAGCTCACGTTACATTTTGCAGCAAATGAAACTGTGCACGTAAGACAATGAGGCAAGAAACGATGTAAATGAAACAATGCAAATGAAACAATGCAAATTAAACAATGCAAATGAAACAATGCAAATGAAACAATGCAAATGAAACAATGCAAATGAAACAATGCAAATGAAACAATGGAAATGAAACAATGCAAATGAAACAATGCAAATGAAACAATGCAAATGAAACAATGCAATTGAAACAATGCAAATGAAACAATGCAAATGAAACAATGCAAATGCAACAATGCAAATGAAACAATGCAAATGAAACAATGCAAATAAAACAATGCAAATGAAACAATGCAAATAAAACAATGCAAATGAAACAATGCAAATGAAACAATGCAAATGAAACAATACAAATGAGATTTGAAAGAATGAGACGGCAAATTATTAAATTATTTAACCTTGACCCAGCTCAGTGGGTGGCGGCAATCGGTCAGGTGGGGTTCTGGTGTCTGATTGGTCTCGCACGGTCGCATCTACGCTATCTATATATGATAAAAGGGAAATTTGTGAATGTGTCTGTTCGAAATGTTTAGCATACTTTTTCGATTTAAAGCTTTCGTGACTGCAATGATTCATCTTCTTTGGTTCTTTCGGTAAAGTCACGTAGAATGAGAATAAAATAATAGCATACTTCCCAACATGCAACAAACTTGAAATTTGGCATGTGGGTAGCTTCCAGACTGTACACAATGCAAAAAGTATAAAAATAAACTTTTGTATTTGGGGGGGGGGGGGGGGCGCAATAATGGATATATTCTGCACGGCAAGTGAGCAGTGACGTCACATCTGTGATGTCACCCGCATGCGGCAGCGTCACGCAGTGTGCCTGCTGACGTCACGCATCTCCCCCCCCCCCAACCCTACCCTCCGCGTAGGCCGTGTATTAATCCAAGACAGGAATCTAAGTCTCGGGCGAAGCCGGGTAGTCAAGCTAATATTACATATATCGAGGCTCCACTTACCTAATCACATCATTGCGTATCTTTTTATTCTTTTACACTGCTGTTGAAGACTCATGGTGGTTGTTATCAAGGGGGCCACAACTCGTAGCTTTGGCCACGAGGGGGTGGTGGGTAGCGGGGGGGGGGGGCAAGGTACCCCCCCCCGTCCCCACGTTCGTTACACTCCTGCCTGAAACAGAATCGTGGTGGTGGTGTTGGGGGGGAATTTGGTCAAGCACGTGATCCCAGTCACCTGCGTTTGCTTCCCAGCCACGAGCACCAATTATAGCCTGCCCCTGGCCTCACCTAGGTTGACTCGGCCTAAAAATTAGTACCTGGTGCTGCGTGACCAACGTCAGCAATGGGGAGCTGAAGACGTCCTGAGCGTGCGTGGTGTCGGCCTCTAAACCACTGTGCCGTCCTTAATAGGCGCTCGCTAACATGCACGTGCACGCACGCTCTCCCTTGAAGCTCGTGTTTCTAGAGTACAGCATGTCGAGGCCAATACTGGTGCGAAATGCATCGAGCACTGGCTGACCTGGGGCTCCTCCTAGTGGAATTCCCACTCACCCATTCCCCTGCATTCTGAACACCGCAGGGTGCACGTGTGGCTTTGAAAAAAAGGTCGGCCCCCTTTATGCACGGCTGGAGCGTTTATGAAAAGAGGCTCCGTCAAGCGGCACAGTTCTCGAGTTCGAGGTCGTACGTCCTGAGCGCTATGCGCAGCACGCACGTGCTCAGATCACGGTTGACGAGCGTCATGGCCCAAAGGCTCAAAACGCTAAGTGGCCAGCAACAAACAGCACTATCGAAGGTGCCATCGATAAAAGGGCTACTGCAGTACGTCGCTTGAATACAGCAAAGGGAGGGCATTCTAAAGTGAGAGCTGTGAGAGGGGAAAAAAGCAGAATGAACAAATATTTTGACCTGTAGCGTGGTGAGTGGATGAGTCAGTGAGTGAATGGGTGGGTCACTGAGTGGGTGAGTCAGTGTGTGTGAGTGGGGAGCGGTAGTGTCGTGGTTAGCGCGCTGCGCTATAAACCCGGCGACCCGGGTTTGATTTTTATGCTCACAGCCAACACCAGTCACGATTATCTGAACTGGTCATGGGCCTCACCTAGGTCAACTCAGCCTCAAACGAGCACATGGTGTGCCGTGCCGGCCTTCATAGGTTCTCGCTAACAGCACTTGCTCCAACAGTCTGTTGAAGCAATAGGGGGGATCTTTGTATTGGGTGAGTGAGTGTGTGAGTGAGTGTGTGAGTGAGTGCGTGTGTGAGTGTGTGTGAGTGAGTGAATGGGTGTGTGAGTGTGAGTGAGTGTGTGTGTGAGTGAGTGTGTGAGTGAGTGTGTGAGTGAGTGTGTGTGAGTGAGTGGGTGTGTGAGTGAGTGTGTGAGTGAGTGTGTGAGTGAGTGAGTGTGTGAGTGTCTGAGTGAGTGTGTGAGTGAGTGCGTGTGTGAGTGAGTGTGTGAGTCAGTGAGTGTGTGAGTGAGTGTGTGAGTGAGTGAGTGTGTGAGTGAGTGTGTGAGTGAGTGTGTGTGAGTGCATGTGTGAGTGAGCATGTGAGTGAGTGAGTGGGTGAGTGAGTGGGTGTGTGAGTGTGAGTGAGTGTGTGAGTGAGTGTGTAAGTGTGTGAGTGAGTGAGTGGGTGAGTGAGTGAGTGTGTGAGTGTCTGAGTGAGTGTGTGAGTGAGTGCGTGTGTGAGTGAGTGTGTGAGTCAGTGAGTGTGTGAGTGAGTGTGTGAGTGAGTGTGTGAGTGAGTGAGTGTGTGAGTGAGTGTGTGTGAGTGCATGTGTGAGTGAGTGAGCATGTGAGTGAGTGGGTGAGTGAGTGAGTGTGTGAGTGGGTGTGTGAGTGAGTGTGTGAGTGAGTGGGTGAGTGTGTGAGTGAGTGAGTGTGAGTGTGTGAGTGAGTGTGTGTGAGTGAGTGAATGGGTGTGTGAGTGTGTGAGTGAGTGTGTGAGTGAGTGTGTGAGTGAGTGTGTGTGAGTGAGTGGGTCTGTGAGTGTGAGTGAGTGTGTGAGTTAGTGTGTAAGTGTGTGAGTGAGTGTGTGAGTGTGTGAGTGAGTGTGAGTGAGTATATGAGTGAGTGTGTGAGTGAGTGAGTGTGTGAGTGTCTGAGTGAGTGTGTGAGTGAGTGTGTGAGTGAGTGTGTGAGTGTGTGAGTGAGTGTGTGAGTGAGTGAGTGTGAGTGTGTGAGTGAGTGAGTGTGAGTGAGTGAGTGTGAGTGAGTGTGTGAGTAAGTGTGTGTGTGTGAGTGAGTGTGTGAGTGAGTGTCTGAGTGTGTGAGTGAGTGTGAGTGAGTGTGTGAGTGAGTGCGTGTGTGAGTGT